CCAGGTAGAGGGAGGGGCTAATTTCCCACTTGAAAGTAGGAGGGACACAAGGAAATCACTTTCACAATCAAATGAAAAGAGAATCTGAGCCAGCACCTTCATTCTGACCCATTTGTAGTGGGTTCTCTATGATCTCGGGGTGGATTCTTGAAATGGGCACAGTGAAATGCCTGGCAACCCTCTACGCATGCGACCAATTTCACTATCTAACCTCCCACATCAATGCCAATTTAAAAATGCAAATTCTCATATGGCCTAGATTCCTTTCGATGTGATGAGACATTTTATTTCATTCTGGCTACAGTTAATTGTATAAAATGAGCCAGAAATTCTAAAATCATTTCCAGTAAATCCAAACTTTGCCAATGATTGAAAGCAAAAACAAAAACAAAAACAAAAAACAAAAGCAAACCCCCAAACTCTCTGAGCAGCGATGTGCTGAGATCTGAGATCTGTGTCTGTGGGGAGAAGCATTTGTTGCCGCACCACGTTTTATTTATAGCCCCACCTGGGCAAGGATGGATGCAGCTCTACTTGTAAAACCAACAGAAACAGAACCAAGTGTGAGAGAAAATCACAAGGAGCTGACGCATGGACATGCTCTGCTTTTAAGTAACTGCATCTAAACAGCACTAGCACATCTGATCAACTGTCAATTTGGGCCAGGCGCAGTGGCTCACGCCGGTAATCCCAGCACTTTGGGAGGCAGAAGCAGGCAGATCACTTGAGGTCAAGAGTTTGAGACCAACCTGGCCAACATAAGTGAACCTGTCTCTACTAAAAATACAAGAATTAGCCGGGCGTGGTGGTGCGCACCTGTAACCCCAGCTACTCGGGAGGCTGAGGCACGAGAATCGCTTGAACATGGGGGAGGTGGAGGTTGCAGTGAGCCACTGTACTCCAGCCTGGGCAACAGAGCCAGACCCTGTCTCAAAACAACAACAAAAACAACAAAAACACAAACACAACAACAAAAAAAACCTGTTAATTTGATGACATTTGGAAAATCAGCAATGCCATGTAAAAATCAACTGGTCAATTCACTGAACTTTTCCAGGTTTCAGCGGGTTGTCTGGGATCATACAGATATAACAGGATACTCGTGATGCCCTACCAAGGATGCTGACCATGTTTAAGTAAAAATACACAGTTTTGATGCCAATATAAGAATCTTACTTACTCCTTTACTCAAGGAGAAGTAGATGTTATTTTACTTGTGACTTCCTCCCAAGTGAATGAGTATACCATTTAACAAACTAGCACAGTTCAGTTTATTAAGTTACAATCTGTAACCTCCTAATGTCGCTCAGTGTATAGTGGACACTAGATATAAACAAGAATAGGGAAGTCTTTGGCACCTGCAAGATGTGTGCCGGCTTTTAAATTCAGAAAGATTGATTAGAAGCTACAATGCAATTTTTTTTTTTTTAATCTACAGATACCACCAAAAGAAGAAATGCTTATCAGATTTCGAATGACACAGCTGTAAATTGGCGGTTGGCAGCTTTCCACATAAAATTTTCATCAGTAAGTGAAACTTGATCACAGCCCAAACTAGACAAGACAATTAGGTGCCCGGACCCTGAAGTGCCCTGTGAGACTACAGGAACGCGCACTGTGGTGCTCGCCAGCCAGTCTCTTGAGGAACTGCCTGCAACAGTCACGGTTGTGGGGAGAAACAACTCCATTTTTTTTAAAGTTTTTTTTTTTTTTTTTTTAATGGTATTAAATATAAGTCTTAGCACCTTTGGCATTTTTGTCCAAATAGACTTCGACATACGAAGTGGGGACATAACCCTCTTCATCTTCATTTCTCCGAATGCGGGTCCAGCCATCGCCTTTGTCTTCCTCGATGACATACAGTGTTTCTCCTTCAACCACGGAGATCGTTCCTTCATTCTGACCTGAAAAAGCAACATCAGGGTATTTTAGATGTCTTGGCAAACGCAGGTAGAAAGCCAACAGTGGCCTTTGCAATGAAACAAGTGTCATCAAAGATGAAGTCCATGCAAAATTCACCCAACTTGGTCCTTCTCTGACACACTGACCCCTCACCCACTGCCTCAAAACCGTCTCCTTCTGCACAGAAATGTCGGGGTTCTTACCTCTGTCTCTCTAGGGACCCTCTCTAAGGACTCCAGGGGCCTCTTTCTCCTCCCTCCCAGAATGGCAAGTGTTTCCCCACCGGGAAAATCTTTGGTCCTCTTCTCTAGTCTTCTTCTGTCTCCCTTGGATCTCTCTTGGGGGAAAGGTACCCCCATGGCTCCAACTGCTTCTCTTTTGTCTGCTGGTTTTCTTGGGGGGAGTTGGGGGGATGGAGTCTCGCTCTTGTTGCCCAGGCCAGAGTACTGTGGTGTGATCTCAGCTCACTGCAGCCTCCGCCTCCCCGGTTCAAG